CTTCGTGTGAGCCCGGGTGCTCTTGTATTCCTTTGGTTCCTCAATTACAACTATTCTCCGTTTTACGATCTCCTATTTCTCTTTTAGTTAATTATCAAATTCTTTAATATGTTATATTTAACTATCTTTTATATTAGAGATTAAAGTGAAATGGTAATTTTTTTTCAAATAAAAAAAATTAAAGGTACTTTAGGGAAAGCAAATATTGAAAATTAGCAATTTAAGGCCTGTTAGATGACATCTATCGGAATAAAAACTACATTTTATTTTAAAATGCTTAATTTTACACTCATATGGCGAATTTAATCAAATTCGTTAATGCCATTTTCGAGAAAATCTTAAAAATGTTTTTAGTCCATTATATAAAGTGCCACTTCCGGTTAGCCAATTTTGACGAAAAAATTTCTGTTACATCCTTTTCATTTAGAAACCTTAAATATGCAATTTCACTTTCGTATTACTTTTTGTTTTTGAGCTAGACTGTCACCACACACACATACAGACCATTTTGCGGGGCTTGGGTATTTGGACTTAGGGGACCTCAAAACGTGTATTTCCATTGAAAACTGGGATTCGAAAATTTTCACGATCGCAATACTTTACTTTAATATATACTACATATATAGGTAAGTGAAAGTAATAAAACATTTTCACAGTCTTGACTACTTATGTATAAATGTATATTTATACTTTTACTTATTAAGTAATTTGAGTTCTACCAATGGGTAGTTTCTCTTCATGTTGTACATGTCATGTTATCAATTCCACATTTACTTATTGTATTTTCTATGTAATACAGTTGTAAATTCCATTAAAATAATAAAAAAAAAAAACTTAAGTATATTTTTTAACTTTATTTCAGAAAAATTATAAAAAAAATCCCGTGTGAATGGAGTTGCCCACATGAAACGTGAATGGATCATAAAATCCAAGGATATGTCTCCAATTTTAATTTATCCAAGGATAAATGAAAATTTAAATAATTATAATATTTAGGTCGAGTAAAATACCCAAGTTCATACTTATAGGCCTTAAATTAGACAGCTTATAGGCAGAAACTTAGACTTTTCTTAATAGTTTTAGTTTACATATTTTATACATTCACGTAGCTTATTTATTAATTTTATTTTTTTTTCAAATTATTGAGGGAGGGGCGAAACGATATCCCCGCCCCTCAACACTTTTATTGAGGGGTGGGAGACGATCGTGATCTTTTCCACTGTGAGTAGTTAATCCTCATCGGTCCCTGTTTCAAAAAAATTAACATCCTTCTTGTCTTCCGATTTTTCATGCTCCTCTTGTTCCTCGTAACCCTCTTCGAAGACCTCGCGACTAGATTTCTTGAGGAGCTCGCGGCTTGTCTCTTTCAAAACTTCCAGAAGGTGCTTCGGGAAGGTCTCCATGAACCATGGCTGCTTCCAAAGGTCCCACTTCCCGGATGTGTTCAGTCGCGGATCGTATGGATAGCGATACCTGTTTGAATACTGGAAGTTTGAGGGTATCTCCCCTAAGGCCAGATGTTCCTGGACGATTTCCCTAATGGTCTTTTCATTCTGATCCTCTTCTTCCAAAGTTTTGGTCGACTCTGTATCTGTGTCGCTGTGATTTTCGTCTATCAGGTTTTCGACGCCATACTGTGATCTGTCTTCTTCAATCATCTTTTGTAGTCTGTTCGCTAGAGTGTAGCGTTTATCTTGCATTTCTCTATATTCCTTTAGTTCTTTCTCAGTCATGACACAGTTCTGTTTTTGTAATTCGTGTTTCTTTGCTTGGAAGGTCTGATCTAATTCTTCCAACCAGGATTCTAAAAGGGCCTTATTTTTTGCTCTTATTTCCGCTATTTCTTTAAGGGCATTTACCCTATGTTCTTCCCTTTCTTTCCTATATCTTCCGTAATCCCTATCGTGTTTGATCATTTCCTTTTCAACACTTCTCTTGAAACGTGGAAAACCTTTCGCTAATTTCGATTCTAAATTAGTTGTCAGTAAATGCTTTAATCTATTTTCTTGTTTAGCCATTTTTTCATATGATAAAACTATTTTATTGCTGCATTAAATAAATTTATTATAGCTAGACATATGGAGTATTGATTAACATTACAAGAAAACGTATATATAATTAGCTCGCACGGGATGCTGAATGTAATGAATGAATTAAAAAAAAACGCTCCTAATTGTTACACAATTCCAAATAGTTATATATCAAATTTAACACTATACTTTTTACCATTTAGAGGCAAATCAATAAAATATGTTAGCTAATATTGGCCTGCATAAGAATTTTGTTCTTGTTTTTTTTCTTTTAGTTATTTGTTCAGAAATATAGACAATCTCAATTGATTCAGTTGATCACGAAAATAATGGAGATAGGCTTTGATAATAACATATGGTAAATATTTAGAACACAATATTTCAAACTCCTAATCGAACGATATCAATGACTCTTTATTTTTTTAGTTAATATCGAAAATCTTCAAACAAATTTATAAATAATATTACCAAAAAATTATATACTTTTTGAGTTATTCGGAAATCTAATTCTTGTACGCCTTGTAACTTTTTTTCCATCATCTTTTGGGAGAAGTACGTTATATACTTAAATTTATAGTGATTTCGAGAGAATGATTTATTCAAGTTTGATTAAAATCGTTACGTCTGTTTAGGCTCTACAAGCAATAGCGAGATACGTTTATCGGCCGCCATTTTGAAAGAAAATGGTGGATGTTAATGTCGAATTTGAGGATCATCCTCAGGTGACCTCAGACTTTGATTTCATATCTTTAAAAAAATCGGCCCAACTTTTTGGTTGTTTACAATGATTTATTATTGAAAATAATAAAACAAAAAAAAAAATATTCTTGGATTCAAATCAGCTTAGAATAATGAAAAGGTTTAAAAATTATGCATATTTATCTGGAAATAAGAACTACAAAACGGTACTTGTTAATTAACTGTTTAAGCAATTTTATTACAATAATTATAATAAAGGTTTAGCGAATCCGAAGGTTCCATGCCTATACCACCAATCGCCTACTTATACTTATAGAATAAAATACCACCAACAACTTCCATCCACTGACCAACGACCAAACTCGATCTCAAATCCTCCCACCTTCCCTTTAGTCTACCCTTGGACGTTTACCAGTTGGAACAGCGTGTATTAGCCTTTTAGATTCTTTCATTACTGAGCTCAATAATTTTACCCATTTGTTTTAAAGCCCATGAACTGGATGTAATCTCGTAGCTTAAAATTTTTGCAGGCACTTTTACTCGCTCGACCACCTGGTCGTTTTGAAAACTGTACCTATGAAGTACTAAATTCACAAATCCTTCTAATTTGAACTTGCTTCATTCAAGCAAGAAATAATATTATATACCGTTTTTCAGCCACAGCAATCTATTGGCATGCTTAAATAGTAAAATTGCAATTTAGGAATCAAAAGTCACCTATTTCAAGAAGCTTGAAATTTTAAAACAAGAAATATCTTATTTATGAGATGGAAATAACGATTTCAGGCAATGTCAGACCATGAATATCAATTGACAGACTCAATTAGATAAATGTTAAAATGAATGATATATTGCTATCGACATATTTGGTAAAAATTTTACATATTTTAAAAAAAATCTTTAAAGCTAGTTAATTTATTCATAATAAATATAACTTATTTATAAGTACTTCAAATCTTCATAGAGGGAGGAAGTGGTAGAAATAACTATTTCATTCCTATATTTGCCATGAATAAATAACCTAGTTTTAAAGATTTTATTTCATATATTTACAATATAAACCAAATATGAAGATTCAGATGCAGGATTCACTCTAACATTCCTCGCATTTGAGATCAGAATGCTGTCTCGAAGCATGATCATTGCAATTGTGATCTCAGTCTGTATTAATTAATTAATAATATGGAAGTATCATATTTAAAAATTTAAAGCCCCCGAAAAATTGGTAAATTTTATATCTTAAAGTTGTAATTTTTGAACTTGCGTCTTCCGTCCTCTTGTCACATTCATTACAGTTTGAATTTAAATTTATTATACTCTGCTTATACTTATTTCATTTGCTACTTGTCATTTTTTCAGTTTTTACAAAAGATCTTTTTCCAGCACTAATTTAACATAAATTGTTATTTTATTTTTAATAACTTTTTTGCATCTTGCTCATTTTAGCTTTGATAAAACCTACAAAAATAAACATTATGTAACACATATTATCTGTGCAACTGCTGTCGCACCACCCTGACTAACTTCTCCTTATAATAGAACTATGAGCAATTATTTCCATACCAAAATAAAAAACTTTATTTATACTATTTCAACTTAACTTTTATAGTATTTTTAAATTGTATAACCTTTCTTTTAGGGGCACTACAATATATCTTTATCATCACTATTTAAAGAAGAACTGAAAATTTGATGCTTCCTTAATGATAAAAAAGATAAAGAGTAAGGTTGTTCCAGTTTTGATGAATCAAATATGCACAATAATAACATCTATAATTTTTTATTAAAAATATTTGAAATTATAATTATAATACACCTTCAAGAAGAATAAATTTGAAATAAATTAAACTTATAGCTAACAACTTTTAATTCTTTAAATTTTAAATTATTAAGTAAAATTACTTAACATAATGAAGATTCTACTTTTATTTATATATAAATTTTGCTCCAACAACAAATGCTATTGGCTGTATAAATATATCTGCTTAATAGCATTAATGACTAGTTTTATTTTAATTTTGTTTTAATTATGCCAAGAAAACAGGGAAAGGCTAGATATAAATGGGAAAAAAAAAAAAAATAAAACTGAGGAAAAAAATGTCTTCAAGGACGGATAACCCTGAGACTCGGGAAAAGAGGAAGACTGTATCAGAATAATCAGAGTAAATTTACATATTTGCACAATTCACAAAATTGAACGGACTTGAAGTCCTAATAATACTTTTAAACAATACAATAACAATTTTTTTTATCTTTTCAATTTTTTTTTTCCACAAATGTCATATCAACTTCTAACCAAATATACAAACTTGAAAATATCAAATACAATCTAGTTGACTATCGAAGAAAGACTAAGTTTTAAGAATTTTTAAAATATACAATAAGTCTAAAAATAAATAGTTTGATACAACAATTATTAATTAGTAACAATCAGTCGAGTGCGATTAATTACTGCCAATCAATTTTAGCACAACCAAATAAAATCTTGCAATAAATCAGTGCGCTAGAACCATCTGGTAGGTTCGAAACAGACAAAAAAAATAATAATACATCCAAGTCTAAAGATTCTCAATTGACCTAAAGTTCATCTTTTTCTTTTATTGCCTTCTCCTTCAGTTTTTCTAATGTAGAGTGAATTCGTAAATTATCAGCTGTGTCAAGATTTCTAAACCAAGCAGCTGTTTCACTAGCCCCAGTTGCGAGTTCACGATACACTTTTGAGCATGACTTAGCAAGCAGTAACATTTCACGAGTGATTTCTTCGACAACCTATAAATATTTATAGACATTAGTTAGTATATAATTTTTTTTAATATATAGAAGAAAAATATAAATATATATAATATTACAATATTCTTATTAATCAGCCTTTATAACCTGAAGAGGATCCCATTATTTATTTAAAAAAACAAGGATCGAAACGTTTTGAATAAAAAGAATAAACGGCAGCTGTTATAGTTTATTGAAGTGTAGCTCATGACCTATTATCCGACTATAATTACTATCTTAAGTTGTATGTATGTGTGTGTATTGTATGTATATATATATGATGTGTGGATTTTTATTTTTACAACATAAAACTAACTACACTTCAATTTGAACAGCATTAATTATAATTAATAATGAAACACCAAGAAAATTAAAATTATAATAAATCATACTAGTTTCTGGATTTAAAAGGAAATTAAAGTTACACCTAATTAATACCTTAATAAAATGGCACACCTAGTAAAAACATTATAGTTAAATAATCTTGCAAGAGCCGTTGCTCATATAAACGGGTCTTTAGATTCAGAAAGGACAGTATTTGTGAGCCAATATTTTTTAACTTAAACGTATATGTAGATACCCTCTTATTACTTAATTAGGATAACCATGAACTAGCTGGAAAAAACATTCTCAATGTCATTGAGTTAAGTTATCCTTGGGTTGACCACTTTCAACTCTCCCATCCATTATACTTTTATACATCATATATCTCCTTTTGGTATTCCTAGAAATATATAGAGATATATCAATAACTCTATGATATAATCTCACAAGAATAACAACAGTTGTTTTTTGAATGATATCTCGTTCGCTATGGTGTTATTTTTCGTACCATTTGTTGTGTCACCTCCCATGATGAATATAACAGAAACGTTCCTTTATGAATTAGAATAAAGAGAACAATAACAGGACATAGTTATAATTTTGAGTATTTATTTCAAACTAACGTTCGCCCAGTGGTTGAAATTTGACCATAACACTGCCTAACCTTACTGCGGCCTTTAATGATAAAAAGATCCCCCAACTATGTATTACAACCTGAGGAGGATAACCATATATCTAATTACCTCATCGTCTTGGGGGTGTCGCATGAGAAGCTTAAGGAGGGCTTCACACCAGCCCTCTTCTTCAAGGCGCAGGGTCAAAGACATTGAAAAGTATTCCATCGCTTTGATTTTGGCGATAGAGCAATTTTGGCCTTCGCATTTCTCCTCTCCTTCAGCAGCTTCTCTGCTCTCTTCGAGCAGGTCTCGGATAAGAGTAACTGCTTTCAACTGCAACATTAGTTGAAATACTCAATAAAATAAATTAAGCAATATTTACTACATGATAAGTTTCAGGAAACCCTTCAACATTCAAAAACCTCTAAATCTATAACTAAAGGATAATAACAGTGCAAGAAAACTGGTACAATGGGTCAGTTGATAGAAGTGATTTGACTGAGCTCACACTCAAATTTTCTCCTTAACCAATTATTTAATTAAGAGCACACTGTTTACAGAGAAACTGAGTATGGCACAGGAGGGTCTCCTGTCCTAAGGATCAAACCACGAGCTACCTCGCTCTACTAATAATAATAAAGAGCAAATTAATTTACCAAAATTATGATGTTTTAAACATGACAACAGTGATAAGTATACAATAATTTTTTTTGAATAATTTTAAGAAAGGATAAAGAATTAAAATAATTTTGGAAGATAAGATAATTTGGAGAGACCAAATTCCAGTAGAGTTTTTTTCTGTAATATTGGTCTCAATATGGTTCAGTTTAGATAGTTATTTTTAAAAAATCTAAAAAAAAAATTCTTTTCTGCTTTTCCAACTTGTTCCAGAAGTGGTTCATTTCAGGTTATACAAAGAAAAACAAAGAACTTTTTTCTTAATAGTTTTATTAGAACATTCAATAAAAGAATGGTGTTGTTTTTATTAATATTGATATTATATTAATGTTCAATTTAAATTAATTTTTTTGTTGAACAAAAAATTAAAATCATAATCGGATTAGGAAAGAAAAAATAATCAAAAACTTGTTGTTGGAGATTCGAATTTCCTAGTCTACAATATCAACAATCTGGAAATCAGGAGACCCAATCAAAGGAATACCACAAAAAAAACTTAGAACCAGACATCAAGATCTAGAAGATAAACTTCTTAAATTGTTCAAAGCCTAAAGAAGGACCGGGTTCTGCAGCAAATTAAATTTGATGGGAACATAAGATTTAGAATATACGATGTCTTGGATCACTGTATTCTGAGTGGCATGATGTTGTGAAAGATAAGTGGAGAATCATTAAGTGTTCCAGACAGAGAGAGTGAGGAGGCCGAATGGGCTAAAGTGTGTGCACAGCACCACGAGTTGCCTGGCAACCGGATAACAGATTTGAGAAGATTAAAAAGTACGAGTCACGTCCCGGTGCTGGAGGGGATTTTAAATTCCCTGCCTTCACCCCCTGACCCGGGAAAATCCCGTATAGCCTAAAAGAGGTAGGGAAGAAGAGAAAAAAAAAAAAGTGTTCCAGACAGAGTATTAGAAAAATGGCTTCAAAACTTATGGATAACAGTTTGAGAGAACTACGCCGATGAAGACAATTATAATGATGATAAAACTTCATTATTTTATCGATTAGATTCGGATAAAACTTTTAGATTTTAAAGTGAAATGTGCCATAGATCCAATATTTCCAAACATATGTATGTAGATTAACACTTAGGTTCCAGATATATCAATGTATTTTCCTTGGTACATTGAATATTCATATAATCGGATCTCACTATTATTTGTGTTAATTTTTTTTATTATTGTTTAAGAGACTTCCATTGAGTAATATCAATAATATTATGACTAAAATTGAATATAAAGACTGCAGATAAAACTCACCTGTCTTTTAAGATGCTCACTGGCATCTGATTGGAACTGCTTGATAAGAATTGAAAGCCCTCCTTTGTCGAGGAACACTCTCTGACCAGCCGGAAAGCCTCGGATCAAACAGGAAAGAGCATAGAGAGCGCTTGTTTTAACCTGTCAACACACAACAAAACAGATTCAATAATAATCTTTGCAAAGTAATGCTAGAAATTTAAGCATAGACAAACAGTGTACAATCACCTACAAATGATTTCTCCCTCTCAGTATTCCCTACCTCTTGGAAAAAAAATTCAACGTCCTTCCTTCAAATAAAAAGTCTAATCCATCCTCTCCCGAAGATTTCCGTCCAATCACAATGCTTTCCAGTCTCTCAAAACCTCTAGAGAGACAAGTGCAATCCCAAGTATCCAACTTTCTTGAATAATCCAACCAACTTGATCTTCTCCCATCTGGTTTTCACCCCAGTCACTCCACGCAATCAACTCTAATTAAAATTATCAGTGATGTCCTGGCCGTTATTGATGAAAAAAATTATCTGTCCTTTTCCTTCTTGGCTTCTCCAAAACCTTTGACTCCATCAAATATTCAATCCTTTTTTCAAAACTAAAATTATAGCCCTTCCCCAACAGTTTCATCTCAAGGTTATTATCTTTGCTATCTCAACGTCCACAACCACTTTCTTCCTATCTTTCTCTGTCCTCTGGATTTGTCTAGAGTTCTAGCTATAGGTATTTCCTCTTTTATTTAGTGCCTACAAAAACAATCTTCATAAATCAATCCATAACTGCTTTTATCCACAATTTACCACCTTTATGGCGATGATTCCAAATCTATTTATCATTCTCTCTTGAGTTATTTGTAGCATTTACTTAAATGAATTAAGGTTAAATGGTCCTAAACCTCAAGCCTTTGTCATATGTTTCATGCATCTTCTCCTATTCAATTCTAGCTTTCCCACACCATACCTAATCGACCAATCCAACTTCAACTCCTCTATTAAAAATTTAGACTTTTTCATTCATCAAATCCTTTCCTCGAATTACCAAATTTCCAACATACCTAGAAGATCAATTTCAACTCTCAAATTATTTCTGGTACCATATTATGTATGTAAATTATATACCGAATTTATGTCTATGTTTCAAGAGTTGTATAATAGAATACTTTCACAGTTTTTATTTTCTTTTGTTTAGCTTAGATGAAGGTCTAAAACTTAGGCCAAAATTTACACACACACACACACACACACAGATATATACACATTTTTTTTTATGCCAAATCCCCAATTACACTTATAATAAAAATAATTATATGTAAAAATAACGATAAAAACAAATAAAATAAAAATCACTTAATATTCAGTAGACCACAATCTCTAAATTACTATAAAGAAAGAATATATATTACACTCGAGGATGAATCAGCAGATAAACTTCTTAACAGAATAGAAACTGCTCCATCTTGAACCAATGCCTTCTGTACGACAGGATTGTTCTGAGCGGCAGAAGCAAGCAATCGGAGGGCTTCGTTGCGAACAGTACTGTGCGTCGAGTTAAGTGAAGGTAGTATTACAGTCTTATACCTACAATAATATGAAATCATAAATAAAATTCTACTAGAAGTTAATATATAAAAATTATCTGGAGTACTAGAGACCAAAATGTATCCTAGTCTTTACTCCAAACTAATTGGCCTGATAGCCACATTGAGAACTCCACTAAGTCCTGCGGATCATGGTTTGTGATAACAAAAAATAATGATATGTTGATGTTTAAAATCAGTAATATTCAGAAATCATACTTTTTATTTCAACAAACAATCTTATTTATAAAATAATCCAACAAATTTCATATCATGACATGACTCTTTATTTAACTTTCTCTAAAACAACAATAAAATCTAGAAGAACAGCCTAAAAAAAAGAGTAGTTATAATAGAAGATTTTAATGATTTTTATGATAATTTAAGTAAAATGAACCTTGTTTGTCTGTTATTTTAATGTAGATTTAAAATAGATTAAAAAAAAATTAGGTTTGTCAGGTGAGGATTAGGACGGGTATATTGTTGTTAAAAATTTGGTAGAAGTATTAATTGTATTAACTTGTATATATTGGTGGAAGCACCTAACATTGTCAATATATACCAGCCTAAGAGAATATTTGACAGTCAAAACACCTATATTTTTTGGACTTTTGTTAGTTTTTCATCTATAACTTCTGAATTGTGTATTCAAATGAAAAAGTAACTTTATGTAATTAGAGGATGTCAAATTAGTACCAAAACTAATAATTTGATTTCATGATATTGTCGAAAGACATGTTTTACAAACAATGATTTTTACAAACTTTGTCGAAAATAGACAATCTCTATAAATGACTGTAGTTTTGAAATGAGCATTCAAAGAGAAACAACTCATAGTTGTAGTAACCTTTTGTTTGAGTGATTTACTAAATTTCATTTTTTTTTTAAACAATTTAAAAAATTGTATCATGTAAATAAAGAAATTTTTGAGCAATGCTTTAGAGATACCTCCTCTACACCATCAAATAAATTTGACAATTGCTTTTGGAAAACAATAACATTGCAAAATTTAGCTATATTTCAAACATTTATTGAATACGAATGTTATGAACAAAAGCTTTATTAAATCTTTAAAGATTGATCTTTATTAAATTAAACAAATTGAAAAGTAGCAAAATAATAATAGCTGTCAATGATGAAATTATAAAAAGTAGATTATTGAGAAAACTGGTGATCTATAAAACAATATTCTCGTCTATATTATTATATGGAGCAGAACACTCGACAATTCTGGAAAAGCACATTTCAAGAATAACCAACACAGAAATTATGTTTCTAGGATGAATTCTAGTCTCCGTTTGAGGTCTAGACTCGGTGAAAGCAAAAATAGAGGAACGCCAACTCAGGTGGTTGGGACATGTATGGAGAATACTAGATTACTGCAAGACAAAATGGTATACAGAAGCGAGGCCACTAGGACGACCCAGGATGACAGAAAAAATGTTATTCGCCCAACAGGAATGAGTGAAGGAGGTGGACTGAGTCTCACACTCAGCACTGGAAGAAAAAGCACAAAAGTAAGAGAAAGAAGAAGAGAAAACGTTTGAAACAATTAGTCTTAACTTTGAATAGACCATGCAATAATGGAACTATTATATTATAGTATGGATATATTCAATATTAATAAAAATTATATATTTACATTTCAGAATCATAAATGGCTCACTAACCCATTCATTTTAACAACAAAATCTTGGGCGTTGTCAATCTGATGGACGAGGTACTCTAGGAACGTAAGTATTTGCTCCTCCTCCTCTTTCTTCTTTGTTTCATCTCTTCCAGTATCTTCAACTAGATCATGATACTCTGTGAGCGTTTCTTGTAAAACTTCTGTATCCGTTTTAACATCAGCTTCCATTTTCTTAAGTTCCTTCTTTAATTCAGCATATGACCGGTATTTCGATTTGACCTTTTCAATTTCCTAAATTATAAAGAAAAAAAATAACAATATAAAATAAAGATGGAAAAAACAACAAAAAAACAGTTAGGTATATATTATTTCTCTCTATTATACAAGACATTTTTTTTTTTTAAGGTTAAGGCAAGTAAACTTCCATTTTGTCTTTAATCTTTTTTAATCACATCTGAAGTTTCGGGATAATTTTCCCATCTTCAGAGATTCCTTTATATTTAGTTGACTTAGTAATATGACACCAATCGTAAAAAATTACAATAACTGGCATATCTACTTAAATATAATACTTTTTTGGTGTTACACATTCATTTTCTATATATAACTATACCAACCAACCATACAAAGTTATATACCAATACTATACTATATACTATAATAATATATACCAAAACTATACAAGGTTGGTTGGTATAGTTATTTATAGAAAATGAATGTGTAACACCAAAAAAAGTATCCCCACATATATTATTACAGTAACGCTCTAAATCGGTTTTGTACCAAATATAAGCTCCTGTTATGCTCAAATACCATGAATGGGGTACTGTTGGATTCAGAATTTCACGGGGAATTAGCGAATAGTATTCTCCACTTTTGTTCTTCTTTCTAAAATAAATAAAGTTGATACAAACATTTTGCTAGGCTTCAATACTGGATGGTGGTAGGTCTGTAAATCGATAGGGGACAAATTGGATCTTGAAGATTTTGATGCGTACAGCAAGACCCAGATAGTTCCTTCGGCAAGCCATATCATCGTTAATTTTTCACCAAATCTCAAGATTGAGCCACTAATTTCAAAGGCTTCCTTATCCTTCAGGCGGGCAAAATAGTCCAATCACCCCGAAAATTCAGGCAAACAAGTTATGAAAGAAAGCAAATTTTATTTGTGAATAACTAAAAAATTACATTTTCTCTTGGTTACATTTTACATTAAATTACTTTTCTCTTGGTTATGCCCACGATTAAATAAAAGATTTCTAAATTCCCTACAAAATGAAAAAAAAAAAAAATCTTCGAAATCGGACAATGTTTTGCAAAGATACAGCATTAATTACAGTTTACTGAAATTTGTAAACATGTTGGTTCCAAACACAAATGAAGATTTAAAATAATTTTTGTTTTCTTTGTCGATTATACTTATTGACAAAGTAACATTTGATTTCTTTATCTTTTGATACGTTGCATTATTTTGTTCTTATTAATTTAGCATTTGAAAACAATATGCTGTGAGAATTTTTCGCACGGGCCTACTAGTTATATTTAAATAGATATGACAGTTATTGTAATTTTTGACAATTGGTGCCATATTACAAAGTCAATTAAATATAAAGGAATCTTTGAAGATGGGAAAATTATCCCTAAACGTTAGATGTGATTAAAAAAAAAATGAAAGTTTAATTGCTTTAACCTTAAAAATATAAACCGAAGCTTCCTAGAGAAAGAAAAACAAGAAGATAACTAAAAATATTTTTTATTTAACAGGTCATATTTCATTTTAAATATACAAAGCTGTAATGAAGACATCAGAGGGACGGACTGTAACGAAGAAACTACACTTGTTATTCCCAGAATTATTTCTTCCTTATTATGATTACAAATTGGTAATAAGAATAATTACAATTATATAGCAATATAAATTGGCAATAAGGCACGACGTATAATATAGATTTTTAAAGAAATTAAAAATTTGTCCAAATTGAGTTTTCATTCCGTTTATTTTATGCTGATAAAAAATAATACAATCTGAACTAAGGAATACACGTGAATTAGTTTTAAAATTTGAGCAACGAGCAGTACTTTTATAAAAGAACAATTATATAATTTGTAGAATGGGGGATTGGTTCGCTATTAGGCTGAAAGTGGGTATCCCTCTAGTGTTCACATAAAAAAATTTTGAGTAAAAACTACACAAAATTGTCTTTCCTTATTAACTCTTAATTATTTTAACTGATATGGAATGAGAAACGCAAAATAGAATTAGAAAACCTGAGACAATGGGATCGATTTTGTGATTTTAAAAAGAGTTACCTGAATGGTGATATAAGATGACAATATAGGAAAAAATAGGAGACAGTTTTTTTGCAATCATAAATTTTGCATAAAAAGCTGTAGTATACCAAAAGTTATTACTGAACAGGAATCTAAGGTTTTTGTTAACAGAAATTTTATCCAAACATTGTTTTTTAAGTCTACCTTTGCTTATTTAAACTATTTTTGACTCCAATATTAATTAAGAACCTACTTCTTGGGAAGGAGACACTGCTTCGCCTATTCCTTCTTCCATCATTTTCTGCATAACTCTTTTCAGTTCGCTCATATCAACCTGAGACCGTTCCTCATTCTCTTCGACATTTTCATCTGGCAACAAAGATAGCTTTTTATTGCTATCCTCTTCTTCTTCCTCATTTGTGTCCAGTAACTTAGCTTCCCGTTCTCCAGTCGCTAAGTTGACTCTAACATGTAAGCCTCGCGGTATAGCTTGATCTGGAATTAAATAAATATCAATCAAAATTGTTTTTACTGATATATTCATATATTATTCAACTGATCGATTTGTAAATATTGGTGCAAAGATAGAAGATATAAAGGTAACAGTATAAATGAAAAGAAAAATAATGGTCGCCTATAAATGTTGGCCAATATAAATCATGACAGTGATAAAATTGAATTGATTTTGGTAGCAGATCGAATTGCCATACAAGAATATGATAATTTGATAACTATTTTGCAGAGAATCTGATAAAAGCTTTGCAAATCTATTACTTTTAATACTTCTACATTAAGCAAAACCATTAGGTCTTATCAGGGTGTCTATCAATGGAAACTATTGTAGCAATAATTGTTATCTAAATTGGCTACCTACATGGAAACAAAATCACATACATTTGAGCAGTAATAGAATTCAAATGATAAAACATGTATACAAGATTGATATTAGACTTTTTTTTTTTAATAAAAAAAGGTTCATATTTAGTTAAAACATTTTGGAGGAATGGTGGGTAATGGGTTCACTGTAACATGACGTATAAGGCTGCCAAACACAATACTCTTAAATCTTTCTTCCTGTTCTAATTCGTAAAAATTAATTCATAAAAGATAATAAAATAAGTTTTAAACTAAACATTTTTATTCAGAAAGATAAAATAATTATCATTAAACAACCAAAATTCTAAAAACACTATAATAGTAATAGAGGATAAAAATATATTCTAAAAAACTTGGACATATTACTTTGGCTGGTTGATCATTTATTTTGAAAACATTTTGTTATGCAGATTAATCTCTATTTAAATGAAACATAAAAGTTTTTTTTTTAAATTACTATCTATAAATAGCAATCATTAGAGGCCATTAAAAAAAAAAAATACTGTTTGTTAACAAAGAATCAAAACTCTGAAAACACTAAAATATTGACATGGTCAAAAAATATTTTAAAAAACATGTACAAATGACTATGGCTTGTTTATCATTTATTTTGTAAACACTTTGATACCCAGGGTCATCTCTATTAAAATTAAACATAAAGATGAGTCAAAACATAAAAATTATTTTCATAAATCAAAATGTTTGCAACTAAATTAATATAACCTCAAACGTCTTTTTCAGGAAAAACGAGCCCTTATTGATGATAATACTTGGTAGTTCAACTGGAGATATTTGAATGCCATCATAGAAAATTTCAACAAACTGTGTCACTTTTAATTTGCATTGTTTTTTTTTAATGGTGCATAATTTCTTAAAGCTCATAACTAAATCAATTTATTGTTTCAGAACTGCCCCTTAAGAGTCATCTTTTATAATAGCAATGAAATTCTCATTTTTCAAATAGCTCCCAAATAAGTATGTATACAAAGTAGGATATTAGTTGACACAGTAGCTTTCTTGTGCTTTTCGTACGCCATCCTTGGTAAGCCAATCACAATAAAATAAAGTAAAACAGTAGCAGAGAGTATGTTAAAAGTTTGAAAACTATTAATATTAAATATCCTGCGCGTATGGATTTTTAATGCTCCAGATTTTAGATCTAAATAATAGCTAAAAAATATCTACATAAATGCAACAAAAATTCATGAAGAATCCTCAGTAGTAAAACCACTTGTAAAACACAAAAGGGTAGTAAATATTGCACAGCACTATTTTGGGGGAAATATTTTATTCGCCCATGGGAAGAGATGGAGGAATGAGGATTTGTTAATAAATGAACCATAAACACTTCATAAAAATAATTCCCAAAGAGCCACCAGAAAAATGTCAAGCATTAGCTTATTGTAAAAATAATGAAAGCCTTCCCGTAGGTCATAAGTTGACTATAACAAGAGAATTACTCTACATTACACATTGTTAATTTCTTATGGGTAATGTACCACAACTGAAATTCCATAGTTTAGAGATGTTTTGGTTCTGGCAATATTTAATAATGTTACATAATATTAATTTGTATTATGACATCAGGGGCAGAAGTTAAGAATAAGGGTCACAGCACAATAAACATTTATTCAGTAGATGGGACATTACATTCTCGAAATGTTACTACTTAAAAGATAACAATAAAAAATATATCATATAGAATTATGACTTTATTTTGGCTTGATGGCATCAATCTAAAAAAATACTTGTTGAGTGTAGAATTCGAAGAAATTATGATAAAATAAGGAAATTACATTAAACCGCCAGTGTTTTGCTGAATAGTGCCATACCATCTATGACTTTGTATCCATTGTAGAAGAGTAAAAGATTATGTTCTAAATTACTTCTGATCAAAAAATATTTTTTTTTATATTATTGGATCTTATAGCAAGCCAAATACAGCGGGTGTAAAACAAATAGTTTAATACAGGCGGTATAATATGAAATATCTCCACATTAAACTTAGACCACTTTTAAGTAAAATAAAACATATCGGAAACAATTATACAATACAGACAGTAAAGGTATTTAGCTGTGTAAATATTTTTATTTTATGCTATGACCTTATTACCCTTTTTCAAAGGTTTCCATTCTGATGTTGGAGAAAATACTTCTTCATCTTCTGGTTTCTTCTCCTTCTTCCCATCTCCTTGTACACACTTGAGTATCACACCGGCCAGACATAGGAGGAGCAAAAGGATAACAGACCTATAGTGTTCCATATTCCACAAAACACAACCGAAACACAAACAACACTGAGATAAAACGTTATCAACACGTTGCTCTGAAACCTCTCCGAAGCCACCTGTTTTGGAAGGTTAAGTGATCTCAGGTACCCATTCCTTGTTTTCGTCATCGTTGCTAGGTAATGGCCAATAGGAGATAAGGGTCGTTCCCAATGGAAGTTCAAAACGTGGTCTTAACAATTGATATGTGAAATATGTTTTAATATTGAGTAATCACTTAAACATGTTAGTTTGTAGTTGATGATTCGATATCTTTCAAAAAACTGTAACATTTTTATAACCATATCCTCGTTTTTTGCTATCACATTAAGTACCACAATGTTTAATCTGTGTTAAATTATTATTTCAGTGGTGCTTTTCCCATACATAAAATCAGGGGCGGGTTAAGAGGAAAGCGGAGTAAGTGGTCTTCCAATAGCAGACTCCATAGTGGCACAGCTATCTTAAAATGTCTTAACTTAAAGATTTTGAAAATAATCTTTCAGAGGTTCAAAAATACAAAAAATAATCGAACATTTCTCCAAAGAAATATTAAATTCATGGCCTCTAAATTGGATTTATTTTCCTTGAGGTCGGCCAAAATGTTTACTACTTAGGATTTCACATGATAAGTGCATCAATTATTTCTGACTAACTAAATAACGTCTAGAATTTATGTTTGGAAAGAAAAAGACATGATGTTAAAAATAAATCTGACCTGAAAGATAGATTTTTCACTTTAATGGCTTCTTACTAGCAAAGTTCTTTTTTATTATGAATTTGGTGTTTTAAAATATTTTTTTTTTTTTTAATTATTGGGAGAATCAAGATTAGAATGAAAATTGCTGCCCAAAAGTTTATCCCTGCGTTTTATTGAGAATCATGCACACAGAATGCGATCATTTATTTTTGCTAGCCTTTTCGGCTATCCACGGTTTTTCCCATGGCAGAGAAGAGGGCAAAGGATTATTGCTATAGTTGTTAAAATCCTCCAGGCACCGGGATTTGGACTCATAATCTTCGGTTTATCAAGCCCGCTCGGCCATTCCGTCCTGAAACACAGAATGACATCTGTCACGGCGATAAGCGGTATTCCTACGATGAGATTATCGAGTTACATTACTATCTATAGTACAGTCACACAAAATTATCGAAGATCGTCGCAACAGATCGAGTTGTGTGCCTGAGCCTTTTTGGTGATGACGAACGATACTTCCTTAACGATAAGGTGTGATATTGCAATCGCCTACGTTTGCTACAAATATGGATAGTGAAATGACTATAACTTATAACTTTAGATATCTATGTAAAAAGTATGTCCCCAGGAAGAAAGAGACAAAACGTTATAAGCAAAAGAAACTTTTTTTCAATAAGTATACATTTAGGTACTGGTACTGGTATGCTGCGGGAACTAGTCCGGCGAATGGATCTTGTAGTCCTTTTACGTCAATCTCTGACCGGTACATGTACCTGTCGCGGAGTACTTATTTGAGTGAGCGTCAAGATTCATTCATCGGATCTATCAAAAATATATATTATCCGACACAGATAGGAATCAAATTCACAAAGTTCGGAACAGAGCATTATGGAATCTAAGTCCCAACGTGCTCGTCCATAACGTTATTAGTGAAGGTACATTTTTGTTCTTTTTGTGCACGTTTTAGTTAATTATTTACAAAAAAAGAACCATTTTTATTTCAACTGTAAACATAAATAACAGAAATTAAGTAATATTTTTGTTCTGGTCGATCCCAGTTGTAATATTACTTAGCTGTAATGTTCTAATATGAATTTTTGAGACTTATGGCTTCTATTAATTTTTCTTTTATTCTTTAGGTATCTTGACTTCCTCTCAGATAGGAGGTTAACATGGAACCCACATACTAGACTCAAAAGACATGAAATTAACGACGATACGGGCAACTATATAGACTTCTGCCTAGAAAATCCCAACTTTTAACTAACGAAAAATTACTAATCTACAACACAATCATGGAATCCATCAGAAAACCGTTAAATTGTTTAATATCAAATGCATCCAATTCTTCCAGTCCAAAGTCATTCGAAGTAAATGGCCCATTCTATGTAACAAACGAAATCCTAATCAATGACCTTAATATCCTATTTTTTCTAGACCTTATTCTTGAACAATTCTACAAATTTCTACAGAACCTTACGTTTCTTCCAAATTCCCTTGGACAGTCCCTTTCTAGCAACTCCCATCCCTTCAACCCTCCTCGAATGTGGTATTGGACCCAAAACCTTCAGTAATATGTTTATATTGGATTTAGATTCTCCATTCTAGATTCTCCATTCAAGACATGAGTGGATAGAGCTCAATCTCCACTTGCTTTGGTTCCAGTGACGGGATTGAAGGATTAACTCAGGAAGTTCCTGAAGTTTTGCTTTTCCCTCCGTAGTTGAACAGACAAGCCTGGTTCGGGATTCCTTTGCATGTATATAAGTATGTCAGTGTTGTGTGGTATGTATATACCTTTTGATTATTATTTAGTTCTTATTTTGCCTCTGTTATATTTTATTTATTGACATTTTCTGTGAATATAGGGTGAATGTACTCTTTCCTAAATATGAACGTTGTCCATATTTTGACAGAATATTGTATTACTCAGTAAAATAGAAAATAAAATAAAATTCTTTCAGAAATATCTAGTATTTGTGACATGTTCTTACTACATTGGATACCTAGCTATGGTCATCCATGGACTTCTTGCATATCCTCGCTCGACGGACAGAAGGACACCCTGGAAGACGAAGAAGCGTGTGTTCCTGTAACCCAGTTGGACGAGGGGAGGCCCAGGAGTCCTTGTGTGGCCTCGGCGGTCGTTGAACCTGGGCACAGCCTGCTCAAGCCTTTTAATAACTTTACATACCATCACTATAATCACTCCACTTGTCATCTTACTCTCTCCTCTCTTGTTTAGTTTTATTTTTCGGTCTCTCTCACGCTTTATTTATTTTTTATTTTCATTGTTTTATAAATATTTATTTTTTTTACATTCTTTCTTTCTTTTCTTCTTAATGCGTTTTCGTCTTCTTCTTTATCTTTTCCCCTTTCACTACTAATGAAAAAAAAAGAAGTTTAATAGGAAATTCTAAACTGACGTTATAAAAAAATAACAAAGAAGCTGTATCGTGTAACATGAAGCGAATCGTATCCGATTAAGTAGAGAGGTAATTCGTGTCTCAATCAATAACTAGTCAAGGTTTTCTTAATTCAGGCATCAAAAGAAAAAATGACATAAATATCGGAGATTGGCTCCACAGCACAAACGAATCATAACCAAACAGAAATTTTATAATAGCTGAGATATTTGGTAAAGCCTTCGACAATTCACCAGGCCGTTCCTAAACTTATCGTTGGCTCCATAAATAGAATTCAACGCGTTCCTTTACTCATAAATTCAATCGCCGGTGGCTCAGCATTTCCATAGAATTTTGGAATCGGTGGGTCCGCTGGAGTTAACCTCAGTAATTGATAAGAAAAACTGTATAACAAGAAAAAAAATACTATGAAAATGGTAATGAATTATTGGAGGAAGTTAGTCGACTTTTCTACTTATCATGGGTGATAAATATTTAGGACGCAGTCATTATAAATTTTTTATTGGTGCCAACGTTTCAAGCCAAACATGTGGGTTATCATCAGGGCTGACGATTGATGATACATGAAATAGGTGAATGGAATATGTAAAAAGTTGACACCAAAGTGTCAGTACTTGAATACCTTCAGCTCGAAACACGGTCAGAAAGATAAAATATTATATTTTTCATAAATTGATTATATAAATTATTTTTAGTTTGTATAACTTTTTACATATTTCATTCGTCTATTTCATTTATCATCAATCACTATTTTTTTTTTATTACAAACCAATATCTGTTATGTAATATTATATCTCTTTTTGTATTAATAATTTTTCAGCCCTGGTGATGACCCACATATTTGGGTTGAAACGTAGGCACTAATAAAGCTTTATAATGACTGCGTCCTGAATATTTATCACCCACGTATATATTAATGATGAATCAAATAAATATGTATAAGTTACAGAAAATTAAAATTGAATAATGATATTCGAATGAAAAATTACTTTATGTAGGATAATTTAAAAAATAGATATATTGTATGATATACCATAGTATGGTATATACTGTATTATGGTATATTATTATGTCAATTAATCTTTCTTATATAGTGTTATATCATAGTGTTTTGCCATGGACAAGTTCCTAAAATCAGTGCTAATTCCAAAAATTGATTAAATTCGGTACTGATGGACTACGATTTATGTAAAGTTTATGAACAGCCTCCTAGCTAAACGTTAACTCTTCTGCAAGGTTAGAAAACATATGAAAAATAAAAAATTATATGAGGAAATATTTACCTAGTGAATCACAGAATTTCAAGACAGAAAGTAAACTGAATATAAATACGTAACTAATTGAGAAGTAACAACACTGAGGTTATAATGAAGTTAGATTCAGTGGATCCATCGACCCAAAAAGCCGATGGAACCGTAGAGCTATCGATGTTTCAATCTATGAATGAAGGAATGAGCTGAATTCAATCTGGGAATCAATTGATGAGTTAAGGAATTGATTATAACCTTCCGCTGGAATCTTACAGGCTTCCTAATCTCAGTTCCTAATAAATCGCTGTACTTCAATGCTGAATTAAATAGATTGCTGGATTCCTTCGACGGAATTAACGGTAAATCCCACTTTTTCAATTAGTTTAACACTTGCCCATAATTGAAAATAGAACGAATTTTAGCAAAAAATAAGTTGAGGGTGCCATTAAAGGTGATATTACACATGAATAAGAAGTCTTGTTTTACGTTTCGGCCTACGTTTTAATCCTTTATCAGATATAAGTAAAAAGAAGGTCTGAGGTACATACTCTTTTTTATTAAATTATTAACATCCTAAAACTTCGTGAATAGCTTCATCTCATCGTAACCTGCATTTTTTTTATTTACTAAAATTTTCAGAATTGAAGCATTTTCAATCTGGAGACAAACTTTGTCTATTTAATTGGGTACTAAAAT